CACACACACACACACACGCGCGCACACACACGAAAGAGTCAAGGACTTGAAATCAGCCTGTCTGAATGCAGACAGCAACTCAGAGAAGGAAGAGACCAGAGATGAAGTGCAACAGAACCCTCCAGAACAATGCCACCATCGAGCTTAGAGACCCAACACATGGAAGAACAAAAATTATAACCTAAAATTAATAATTTAATGAAGTAGTGAGGAGTAATCAGGGCTCAACACCCCCCCCCCCCCCCAAAAAACCAAAATCATGTTCACCAGCATCATGTTTAGAATTTGCCCGGATACTTCACCATCAGATCATAAACATATTTTAAGACAACTGAAGTCAAAATTCTGAATCCATAAAATTGTCTGTAGGAAAACTTTGTGACAATAGTTTCAAAGGTAAGTACTTACATTTAAATCCCATTTAAACTTGTGTGCAAAAACATGACCAATAAGTCTTGATGCCAGCAGAATGATGGAGTCACCCTTTGGTGCAAACGTGTGACTAAGTAACTTGAGTGAATATTTAAATTGGACAATTTTATTAAAGAATTCTGAGATCAGCTGGTTGAAGCTCAGATTTCAGAAGTCAACGTCACAACTACCCATAACGCCCACGTTCACTGCGCAAAGAAAGAAAATGTTCACTGAAATTAACTCCAACTTTTTACTGGTTGATGGGAAACGATTCAGCTGAATTTCAGACTTTTTTTTTTTAAAGACTAAAGATGGATCACATTTAATGTTATTATTCAAATCAAAGCTACAATACTGAATCACAAATATGGCAGTAAAACAAAAGATCCAAATGTTAAAACAAAAAAACTGGTCTTTTAACATAAAATGGAATTTATAACTTACAAGAATCTCAGCTGTGAGAAATCAAACCCAAAACTTTACATCATCATTTCACTTTAAATAAAAAGAACTGAACAATGTTTGTGAGTGGCATTTTCACTCACTGTGAACAAGTTTAAACAAAAATTTAAATATTTTGAAAGAAACAAAGTGAAAATGTTTGAGATTTGCTGGCAAATATTTGGACTCCCTTTGTCTATTTTCTTGGCAGTAATGATCTTCCATACAAATTCCAAACTGACCTGCTAAACTTCAAACTCAAAAATAACTGAAGGAGCTGAAGAGTTGAAGTATTTTACACACAAAAAAGCTTCTTCAACAAATATCTTCTTTTTTTTCTGCTGTAAAAATCAAACATTTTTCTGTGCTTAACCAAAATAAAAGCTCTAATTCCATTTAAAAGAGACCAAAAACACTCAGGGCAGAAAGTGAGGACAGTTTTCTAGAGAACATATGCAGTAGAGATGTGTGCATCAACAGCTTCACGAATCTGTTCCACCTTAAATAATTCCTACAAACCCGTGACCTCTGACCCCTGCAACCAGACCAAACAGGGGAGGGGGGGAAAAGCACAAGAGCAAAGTGGAGGGAGGGAAATAAAATAAAAACAAACCAAAGAAGGAGCTCTGTGGTGGCTAACAGAAAGTTCCTCATGTTTCCTTAGACAGGAATCGAGTCCGTAGGTGTGGGGACGGCGCCCGTGGGCCATAACTGATGGAGTGATGAGATTCCAACAGTACGAGTCGACACTCACAGGAACAAAGTGGATGGAGTTTTGTAAAGTTTTTGTCTTATCGTGCCCTCAGAGCAGACACTGGGTGGAATCTGTGGTGAGAGGGAACAAGCTGGATGAGTAGGCCTGGGTGGGCGTGTCATCACCTGCACTCCACAACCACAGTGTTCTGAGTGGGCGAGGCCGATGACGGACTCATACCAGTGTCTGAGGAACCTGATGAGGTGGATGCCATTGTGTTGGACACTGAGACAGAAGGACAGAGACGGACAGAAAGACACCTTTTAGTAATATAACCCTGATAAGCACATCACAGCAAATGGATTCATCGATGAGAAGCAAAATTATTCAAGGATGGAAACTGAAATGCTTTTCTAAGAAACAACAGATTTGGGCTAAAAACAAAGTTCATCTTTGAACAGCTGTACGGGAAAATACTGGAGTGTCCAACACTAACCCTCAGCCTCCTAGTAAATCCAACACGTTACTGATTTCAAAATACGATGTCGCCTTGTTCTCAAGTTTATTGCATTCACCAGAGTTTCTGAAAACTTGACTTTAACTCAATTGAAAAGCTTCACCACAGGGATATGAACTCATCCGAGATCTTTAGTAGATGCACGTTTAGTATAAATGTGACAAAGGTGACTTTGTTTTTGAGTTACAGCATTTACAAGATCTGTACAACACGTGGCTGAGGTCAAACTCAGACTCGAACCATCCACCATTTTCAGCAGCTGAACCTACGGTTTCAATTTCAAACTACTACATCGCTTGGTTCTCAAGATATCTACTTCACAAACATGTGTGTCTGGCCTCCAGTGGGATGACAATACCCCACGAACACGGAGTAAAAATCTATCCAATCTCTTCCACTTATCCGTTTCAGGGTCGCTGGAGCCCATCCCAGCTAGCATAGGGTGGGAGGCAGGGTACATCCAGGTTGCCAGTCTGTCGCAAGCACAGGGAGAACATGCAAACTCAGCACGGGCAGGAAAACAAGATTACATTAGCCATATCGCTCCACTGAGTCACATTCAGTGATGACTCTATCAAGCGCACCCTGCTGTGCCCACCACTGAATTTCTGACTTCCGTAAAGGAGTCACTGGAAATGGAATGGTTCTCCTGGACTGGTCTAACAGACCTTTTCCACTTGGGTCGGCTCTATTTGGTTGGAAGTACCTGGTACCAGGTTCTCTTTCTGGACCTACTCAGCTGGGATTCCAAGTGATCTGAGGTGATTCAAAAATGATGTCATGCCACCGATTGGCTAGTCGGTGGCATCACTCGATAAGTCACGAGAGCATCTCCTTCACAAAAACCAAAACTGCCATTTTAAAGATCTGGCAATGAGAGAAATGGCTACAGATAAGAAGCAACACTGAGACCGAGTCAAGCAAAGTCGGTACTGGTGTAAAAGAGCTCTACGAAGAAAGCAAGCAGATGATGTCAGCGTTTGCCTGCAGGCCCTCCTACCTTCTCTTTCCTTCTTTTTTAGTCTTTTCCTGCGTCTGTCAATAGACGCAACCTCAGACTTCAGGGTCATGTAGTACTTTCTGATCTCTTGCAGCTTTTCCTGGAGGAACGAGATCCTTTCTGTGCTTGACATGCTGTCCAGCTCATCTGAGGAAAAGTGAAAGTGGACACAGATCAGATTAAATCTCAATTTTAAAAAGAAAAAGAGGTCCAACAATTTACAATTGTTTAAAATCTCTCAGAGCATCCTTCAGCATCAACATGAGGTTACAGTTCAGGTGGAAGCACTTTGTTGTGTTTATGTTGTGCCGTGAAACACAAGTTTGCCCACAGTGGCCTATAGCTGTGTCATTTGACATGTTTGAATTGTCAGTTCAGTGTCAAACACTGTGTGTGTTCGTACCAAGTTGGAAGGTCCACTTGTAGGTGCGTTGAGGGGTGGAGAAGCTCTGTTTGTCTTGTTTGTGAGAAGACGGAGATGAAAAGCTGGGACGAGACTTCTGAGACTTTGACAGAGACGAGAGCCGAGACTGGTCCTCGCTGTCACTACTGTGACCTGGAAACAGTTTACAACACTTTGTAATGCAGTGGTTCTAATAATCTGCTGTGCATCTTCTCATAGGAGTCGTCTCTGCATTCACAGTGCTCTGTTAATCGGCTCCAAAACAACGGCGTGCTCAGAGGGCAGGTATACCGCCGACTCACCTTTATTGCAGCGTTCGTGTTGCATGTAATTACGTCGCACTCAGACATGTTGCTATGACAGCGACCACGCACATCAGGAGGTACTAAATTGTAATGGAAAACCAGTCGATCTGAGCGGGCACTCATGGATCGAGGCCCACGTTTGAGTGGTTCACCATGGATCTGATTATGTGTGGAGCTCCGAAAATTAGACTAGTGGAAGAGAAAGTCTGTTTTTGTAACTTAAGGTAAAAGGTCAAATTTCATACACTATATTAAATATACAGCAAGTAAAATATTTTTTATTTTCATGATGATTTAGAAGCTCATGAAAATCAGAAATCACAAAGTATTAAAACATTTCTTTGGTTAATCAAAAGGATTAACCGCACGTAGTACTTGGTTGGAGCTTACTAATGACCACATAAATATGACGTGGAAACGTTCTGTGGTTTCAGTGAGCTGATGGCACTGCTGAGGTGTTAGTGCAGCACGGGTAGCACCAACACTACAACGGCCAACAGGCTCACTGCAGATAAACTTTGACAGTTGTACTTTTACAATAATAAATATGTGCATCTTACATTTTTGTGTCCAGCTCAAGTCAATTTAAGAAAAATAAAACTGGAAATTAGCAGTTTCACTCCGAGTGTGAAGCACAGCTGGAGCCTAAAATGAGCCAAAATTCTTTTCTACCTTTTCATAATGTTCCTCCTCTGTAATATTTCATTTATGCTATTTGTTACGTCATTTGTTATGCCCTTCATTAGTTTAATGTCTATTTTAACTTCATGACCTGTAAATGATTAGTGTTACATACTTGTTCACAAACTCTGACCTCTGACCTTAATATGAACATCAATTCAATTTGATTTCAGTTCAGTCACAGATCTGAACTCGTCTGAGACTGTTGGTAGATGCACTGATGTATCATTTTGAAGGTGACATTTTTCTGAAGTTCTTGCGTTCACAGAGGCAGCGTGGGTGTCCACTGTGCCCCATCAGCCTTTCTTATAGTCTCCAAGCTTCACTTCATTGACAGACTGATTATCAACCAAAAGTCCAGAAAAGCTCATTAAAGTTATAAATTGATCGGCATGCAAGTGAGTGAAATAAGTATTTGATTACCAACAAAAACATGTCTGCAGACTGCCTGTGGTACTCCATGACCTTAATGTGCTTCTTTAGTCGTATTGGGATACTGATGCTGGAACTGAAACCATCCATGACCCATCTTCAGTGCTGTGGCTGAGGGAAAGAGGTTCTTGTATACGATCCACAGTTGTCCTGTTCCCTTAGCCAAAGCACACGTCCATGCCCAGTTTGCCCAGTGAAGAAGTGGATTCTGTGGACAGTCTTATACATATTACTAGCTCAGTATCAAATTGACTGATTGTGATCTGTGTGCCCATGTTCTGCAATTTGACTAGGTTGTAGTGGATTCAAATACTTATTTCACTCAACGACATGCTACTCAGGTTATAAATTATGTGGCATGTTTTCTATTCTCTCTCTGCATTGAAATAAAACACACTGTTCACTTCTTTGGAAGTGAGCAAACTTACAAATTAAGCAGAGGATGAAACGATCATAATGCAACTTGAAGAGTTCAGAATAACAGCAAGATTGGACTTTTCCAAACGTCATCTGGTTCAACCTGCAGAACAAGTCTTCATCTGATATTTACAGTACAAGCTGCCACTGACCTGCTCCGTTCTTCTCCACCCTCCCAGGCGTTTGTGGTCGTTTCTGGTTCCGTTTCTGTTTCTTGGCTGACGGGCTGGAGTTACAGTCAGTCAGCCTCTTCTGACCTGAAGGGTCAAAGGTCATATCTTACTTGTGATACAATCCAACTCAGGGCTCGCAAAATCG